CCGCACATGGTAGTCCCAAGTGACCTTTGCATAAGAAAATGTCTTTAAATTGTATCTGTAAAACTCACATCCATCAGTCCAGATGGATAGTTTTACTATTTTCAAATAATGTCGACCAGAGAGACAAACCAAACAGAGGTAAGAATTTTCATCACTGAGAAAATCTTTTAAACTTTCTACTCTACTTTCTGCCAAAGCTGTCAGTCGCTAAAGTCAATCTCTTCAACTATAGTTTACATATCACATTCAGAACATTTCTGTTCGGAAAAACTATGATATCAGAGCCTCAAAATAAAGAGAGACATATGGTCATCACAATTTGGCTTGTGGCTTTTACATGTAGCTCATTCATACTCCCTACTCCCAGGGCACTCAGCCAGAGAAAGAATTTCAGTGGCCTTTTCCATCTCAAACAAATATCAAGGTGACCCAACTGAAACCACAGAACAATCAGACTATGGCTCCACTAAAAAGAAAGGAGGAAAGCATAAGCAGAGATGCCCCTCCTCCCAGAAAAGTCTTCAAACACTTTTAGTGGAGAAGTGGGGGGTGGTCTGGATCAGTACTCCACCCAAGCAATTCCTCCCTTATCTTGTTCTTTGCAACATTCTACCCTCAGCTGCATGCAGAGACAATCAGCCTTAATTACTTTAGAGGGCAGAATTTGGCTTGAGATTTCTGTGCATCCAGAAAGACTACTACCATTGTCAAGCTTGCTCCAGGCAACAATGCCATCAGCTTCTCTACCACCACCCATTCAGGATTCCTTCCTTCTCTCTATTAAATGGGTCAGCCTGGATTGATGGATCTGATGAGCCTAAAATTTCTGCCCAACATTACTTCTGCTCTTAGTATCAGGGGGTAGCCGTGTTAGTCTGTACCCACAAAAACAACAAGGAGTCCGGTGGCACCTTAAAGACTAACAGATTTATTTGGGCATAAGCTTTCATGGGTGAAAGGTGAGGTTTTTTACCCACGAAAGCTTATGCCCAAATAAATCTGTTAGTCTTTAAGGTGCCACTGGACTCCTTGTTGTTTCTGCTCTTAATGTTACAATATTACTTACATTCCCACCCTATAGTTTTGCATTTCCCATTGTGGTCTCAATGTTCTACCCTTCTCCCTTTGGTGGCTATGTGCTTCAGTAGCACTTAAATTTAGAAATCTAAATTCAGAATTTCTCAGTTGTTTTAGTGTAAAGCTGTTTCTTCATTCTAATTATCAAGTTCGTGTTTGAGGGAAGGGGGAAGAGGAAGTTGAAAGCCTGTTTAACACAAAACTGTACTCAGTGTTACATTTTCCCCAAAAAATGTTAAAACATGTGTATATCAGGGACTGGATCGCTCAAAGACTTAACTTATGTTCTTATGTTAATGTGTAGCATCTCTCTTTTTGAGGTCATACATATCAACGAGGTTCAGGCCAGTAGCTAGCGAAAGTCATTTTTGGAAATTAGGTGTTCTTGGGCTAGTTTTGGGCGGATAGGAAACCACACCACAATTGGTGCCCTCACTGACATTCTGCACAGACAGGCTAAGGATGCAATCCTCAGCACAGAGACTGATTTGCCTTCTCATCTCTAAAAAGTAGTTCCTGCAGAGCTGGGGCACATTGATGAGATTGTGTTGGGGAAAATTTACACTAATCAGGCCCATTCTGTACCAGTTCTGTGGAAAGAGGGCCTCCCGCACCAGAGATATCAGGTTGGCACCTTTCATGAGCACTAAATCACTTATAATATAAACAAAAATCCTTTCTACGCAATCCTCCTGTGGCTGGAAGAATTGAAGACTGTACATTTCTGTCTCTCACAAATTTTGAGTTGTTCGCAGAAACTGGACATAGATAAAAAGATTACTAGATACAGTTCCCAAATCCAGCTGTGCCACGCTATCAGTTCTAAATTAACAAGGTGCCCTTAGAAGAGGTCTACATTTATGGACTTGTTCAATCTCTTGCCTGTCTCCACTGACATTTTATCTGGGTTCATCAGCATGGTACAGCAACCCAACCTGGTGATTCAATGCAGATTTGCACACAAACTCCAACTGACAAGATTTCAGGACATTTGCCAAGGGAGGTTACAGAATCACCTTTAGTGGGGATATTTAAGGCTGAATTTGATACTTGCCCATCAGGGACAGGAAATTATTAAAAGAGACACTATTAGGTCTGCAGGAGACTGGACTAGATGACCTCTTGAGGTCACTTCCAGACATTATTCTATGAAATATTTCCATTAATTCTTGGAAACGATTTTAACGAATAGTTACTAAAACTCAAGCAGTACTGTGCTAGTGCCTGGAAACCTGAACATGAAACAGACTACAAACTAACTACCTACGTAAGTTGCACTGACAATTCAATTTTATTGGCTAAACTAGAGAAATGCAAGCAGTAAAAACAGATTTTTTTAAAAAAATAACCTCATCTACTTGTAATAGAAGTAAGAATTTTTTGGAGTTTCTTTAAAATTAAAGTGTGATTTTTAAATGTTTCCACTGAAAATAAATCTTCTCACAACACAAGATTCACTTATCCTTCAGTTCAGTCTCCAATGCACCACATCTCAAACATTACCCAATCAAATTATACATGAGCATTGACCATAATGCTTCCGAAAAAAGTTTTTATTTTATTCTCTCATTACATATACATACAGATCATCTTCTCTATGAATCCAATATTTGCTACACTACATTCACCAGGTCCGAGTCACTCAACCTCTTCCAAATTGCGTGAATACAATACATTTTTAGTATTACAGTGAAGGATAACAGTTGGTTAGAGTCAGCCTCAATCCAAATCAGTGTTATGCAAGTGTCATCCGTATTGCTGTCCCAATGCCCCTTAATCCCGTGAACTGCATCACCCCCTGCTATTCTATTCTTGGGCCTCTTTAAGAGAGAGAGGGAGAGAGAGAGAGACTATTATGCTCAACTGTGTCAAATTGCACGGTGGATTTGTAACTTCATTTTCACCTTGGTGCATAACGCCTTTCTTTCCTCTTCTGATGACATTTCGCTTCATACAAGCATCAAGCAAGCCAGTCCACAGCCTGATTCTCTTCTATACTAGGGCACTCCTTTGTATATATTTGGCAGTGTAAAGGTGGGTTACCGTAAATGAAAATCAGATCTGGTATACTAATACCCACTCTCTGCACTCTAGCAATTTTTAGAGATACCTCCTGTTCCACTGTCTTATTTCCAACATTCCTCTCATTCAGAGGAAACATTGATGCTCTATATTTCCCAGTTTCTTTCTTCTCAGACCCCAACCTACCCACCAGTAGTGCCCCTTTGTTCCAGTGATCCATATCAAAACTCTCCACTCTGTCCTACTCTTACTGTGTGATTGTGATCCAATATCTACTTCAGCCTCTTACGACACCTGCTCTCTGACAACTGTCTTTTTTTAAAAAAATGAAAGACTTCATGTCAGCTTTCTTAATTTACCTCCATAAAATTACTATTCAAAATCCCTAAGCTCTTTAATTCTAATATTCTCAGTCATCTACTGCAACTGATCCTTACCTAAAGGCCATAACTTAAGTTGAACGCTTCTTAACACGAAAGGAGAGGGGGGGATATTACCCTGAGAACCTTTAACAGAATGGAATACTGTGGGCCTGAGAATCTGATTGTGGAGGATTCCTATCGCTAGGGTTCATTTCAGCTGCCTCTCCCCGCTACTGCGGAGAGCAACTGGTCTGCTCTGAAAATTGGTGCCATAGTCGAATAGCAGGTAACAGAGAACCAGCTACTTAGATTTTCAAAAGGCCTCTGACAAAGTCCTGCACAAGAGACTACTAAAGTAGTCATAGTCTGAGAGTCAAAGTAATCATGGCTCAGGAACAGTCAGACAGAAAACAAAGTAGAATTAAATGGCCAGTTTTTAAATCATAGAAGGGGTCAATGGCAGAATAGTAGCCAAAAGGTTTTTGTACTAGGACTGGTGGGGTTAAATCTATTTAGGAATGCTTCGGAGACTGGAGAGGTTGGGAAGGCAGGGTGAAGAAAGCAGGCAGATATAGTGCAGACTATCACCTTATGTTCTTCCCATATCGTCAAACTTCTACAGTGTGACACCATTTTCAATAGTTTATCACAGTCTCTCTCTTCCTGTTCTCTAATTCCCCAGCCTCTTATTTAAGCAACCACTTTTCAGAATAATGAACCTACAGCCAGTTGAGCAGATGGCTAAAGGGGCTGGGAATCAGGCTTCACTGACTGTCCCCTAGAAAGGCACTCGAGAGAAGGTACTCCACTAGACAATTCAGGTGTCTCATCTCTAACACTCCCAGCCCCAGCTGAATATCCCAAATCAGATGCCCAATCTATCAGGATACAACTAATTCATACGACTAAGGTTACATTTTCATTCCAACTTTTGTTTATAAAAACCTCTTATTCTTAAGTCAATTCAATAAATAGTAATTAGCTGGTGTTTATCAGCTGCTTCCCTCCAACTAAAGCAGGCAGGCAGGCATGCACCATGGTATAGAATTCTGCAATTCCAAGTCAAAACATTTCTTACGGCCTCTGACAGGGGGCTTGGTTCTTCTGTTATCCCACTGCTAGCTCTATTTCTAGCTGACCCCCCTGGGCAAGTGACTATCCTTGTACCCTGGGAGACTGTGCATATGCTGTGTGCAGGAGGAGGGGTGGCAATGGATCAGTCAGAATGGATAATTAGATTTCAAATTGCTTGCTGTCTCCTCACACACCACATCAGCTTGGTTTTGACAATTTGCACTGACAACGTCTAACTCAACAATGACACCTGACGGTGAACAAAGATGAAGCGCTCACCTGGAGTGCCTGGGTGGTGTCTCTTCCAAACAACAATTCCCTGGCAACTTATAAAACACATGCTGACCCCGCAACACATGCTGGTGATGTTCTTTCAGGGATCCAGTTTCTTTCTAAATGCTCAGGACAAGAGCACTGCACATCAATAGAGTATCACAAGGAATGCCAGAAAGCGACGGTACTCACTGAGTGGTTTAAGGATGCCGCTGCTCGTCTCATCCGCATTTTCTACATCTGATTTGTCGGAGTAGTACTCAGAGATTTTTTCTCTTTCCTTCTTCTCCTTTAGCCCAGGTTTTCTTCTGTGGCGTCTCCTTCTCCTATAGCTCTTAGGCACATGGACCCCGATGTAGACAGTGTGATGGCCTATGGAACAATAGGAGCATTAATTTTCATCACGTGCAATTTGCAGAAATACCAAGAAGTCTAGTTTATATCACATTTCATTGTAGGAGTATCCCTAAACAGGGGGTCAACTTGCTGCTTTACTCAAACATTAATTAGCAGCTTTTGAATCCCCCTTTGGTTGTGGGTTTTGGTTTGTTAGTTATTTCTTTTATGGTCAAGTAGTTTTCAAAAAAAAAAAAATCACAACTGACTGTACATGCAAGTGTAGACTCATTGCTGGCTATTCAATATTTGTGGCTATTTTTCTTAAAAAAACAAACAAACAAAAAACAGTATTTCTGCAGTCTCACTCTTCAAGAACTCTCCCCATGAACCTACTTGTTTTTTTGTTTTTGTTTTTTTAAAAACAAATACACTTTTTGGGCCACTCATCTGGTGCAAACCAACATAGCTTGACGTCAATCAATCTATGATGATTTACACCAGTTGAATATCTGGACCAGTGTCCAATATGCCAAGTAATAGCCCAAATCTGGAGGGGGGGAAAAAGCACTAAGATACATGTGTATTACTGCATCAGAGCAGCAGTGTTATGGCTGAGGAAGAGGCTTCTCTTTTAAGCTCCTGTCTGTTAAGTATCCGACACTTTCCAAAACTTTAAAAAACAAATTACAATTTGGCCTAAAATTGCTTATGCTTGTTCTCAAATATAAAGATGTTCACTCCCATTGCCCTATTTTTTTTTTTTTTAAGCAATGGGATAAAATTCTACTTGTCCATTTTTTGAGTTGGATAAAAAGTTCTTGATTCTTTATTTTCCAAGTTCCTTGCCCCTCCAACACCAGCCTAGAATAAAGAGATTCTTTACACTTTAGGAAATTATTCAGACATTTCTTGTGTACTCTGATAACTCAACCATCTTATTTTTAAAAACTTCAGACACACCCGCCATGGATTCAGTCCCTGATAAAGACAAGTGCCTTTGATATGTTTGAACAACTTTGGTTTATCAACGCATTTTACAATGTACCGTTGCAGAGCTTCAGATAAACACACTTGTTTGACCATTGACTGAAGTATGTTTATCTGAAGAGGTGATCCTATTCACATGTGAGAACAAGTGTATTTATCTGAAAGTTCGATCAGTTCTTTTCCCTTAAGCTCAGAAATTCATAGTTATCGTTTCCCATAGCCAATCATCTATCTCAGTTGCCTTGCATATATTTATTCATTTAAATCTTGGCAGTTAACCCACATATACAGCAAGAAAAAAAATACTGATTATGCAAAAGTGGGCAGAGGTGCAATTGCTGTGGGAACCCAAACTTTGAAAATCCAACTTGTGTGCATTTTGGCCAGAATCCTCACCCCAGCAGCCTACGTAGTTCAGCTGGGATCTCTGTTGGGGAAAGAGAAATTCTTCAAGGAAAATTAAACTACAGCAAACTAAGGCCACTTTACTTCTGAATTGAGAACGTCCACACAATGGGTTAATGCACTTTAACTAATTCATGTTAACTTCACACCTCTAGTTAACTTGCCCTTTATCTTCCTGAATGTCCCTGTGTAGACATGGCCTAACACAGCTTCAGCATTAGTGTGGACAAAACTTTAGGCCTCTCAGCACTAGAAGGTTTTATCAAGTTTGCAACCAAGCTGTAACATGAATAAATCCATCTGCACTTCACAGCCACACACAACATGGGTCTCATGTGATCCCTTCTGCTGTGGATGAGGTTTCAATCTCATTCATGAGCAGGACTGATGTGACTGGTAAGCTGTGAAAGCATTAAAAAAATGGCGATTCTGCTATAGAAATGGGAATACCTAGCTCCATCTGCATAACTAACTTAAGCCACTTCAGCTGATTCCCAGGCCCGTATGGGCTGGAACATCCCAGAACACATGGCCCCATGTGAAATTCTTGATGACCAACACCTGGAACTCAGGCAGTGTGGGATAGCTACCCAGATCTTCCTGGATTGTGTAGATGGGGACAGTTCAGTCGGCAACATCTGTACTGGGGAACCTGCCACTTTGTGGACATGTTAGTTGTAACAATATCGGATGAACATGTACAGCCTGATTACATGAATGAGATTCTCTGTGTTCTTTATATGGGGCCTTTTGGAACTAAAAGCAAAACAAAAGGCCAAGTGAAAAGTATTTGTTAATTTGGCCCATTTTTGCTGCTTTATAGAAAACATCTTAAAATACTCAACATTTTTCTTCATAGACACATGCCAGAGTTCCTTTCCTAATTCCTGCTGCTGTAAGTGTTGGCAAACTGATCATGCAGAAAAGAGTAAACCCCAAAATATTTTACAGCAGGAAGAATTTATCCTTTGATGCTTTAACTTCTAATTCACAACTCTCAAACTAAGCAAAAAGTTATTTCACCGGTAATGTTTTTTTAAGAGCTATAGTTTAATAAATGAAAAAGCCAAAGCAAAATTGCACCAGGAAAAAAAGTACACCTCTACCCCGATATAATGCGAATTCGGATAGAACGCGGTAAAGCAGTGCTCCAGGGGGGCGGGGCTGCGCACTCCGGTGGATCAAAGCAAGTTCGATATAACGCGGTTTCACCTATAACACGGTAAGATTTTTTGGCTCCCGAGGACAGCGTTATATCGAGGTAGAGGTGTAAGATTTTTGTCGAATGATTGTGGTTTCTATTGAGGAAAGGGTGTTTCATTCTTGCATAGAAATCAGGGAGGAAAAGTATATTTAGATGCCAAAAAACTTCTATCACAGTGTATGCAGAGTACGGTTATATAAACCAGAACATTAGATAACCTAATCTAATTTGCAGATTTTCTCAGATCAAATCTATGGTTTCAATTCACACTTCATGAAATGTAATTCCACAAGAGTACAACACATTCAGATTAGCAACATAGGAGTCAATTTCATATTAACTTGTGCGTTTAAACAGACACACGCATCCCAAAAAACAATACCTGTTAAAAGAATAAGGTTTCAACATGAAACTTACAAGTAATGCTAAAGGGAAGGTTGTCCATGCCATCTGAACTCTGCCCTTGTGTGCACATACATTACACACACTTCTGTAGGAACCTTACCTCATTATTCACTGAGAGATTCACTCTTGTGCACAGAGATAGCACAAGGCTTGTGCATTACTTAAGTGGTGCACAGGCCTCGTGCTGGCGCACTGCACAAGGCCACATTTCCCCTTGTGTGCACGGGTTGGACAATGCACTGTGAATGGGACAACTGTTCAATATTTATTTTTATCTTCACTGTTCAGCACATGGACCCCTGCCTCATTCACTGCACATCCTCCATCCTGTCCACTACGAGCCTACCTGCACTCTCAGTTACAGAAATATACAGCCAGATCTATCCTAGGCTTATGCTCTACTAATTTCCAATAAAGCTGCGGCAAAAATACAGGGACAGACACACAGGACGCCCTGTCTCATTCACTGCACCATCCAACCTGCACACTCCACGTCTGATCAGATAACTCCCATCGACTCCTTCAGTGGGTTTTTCCACTGACTTCGAAAGGCATCAGATGAGGACCTGAATGAAACAGAAGTCCTACAAGAAAAGTAGACAGCAACTGTGCCTTTATTTAAAGGCTGTATTGTAATGCACATATGCACAAGAAAAAAGTTTTACTGGATTATCTGAACGTTGGCATCCAAGATCTCCACCTCGCAGCCTTAATGTTCTTTGGTAAGTTTTTTCTATTTATTGTTATTACTAAATAAAACAAAAATCTCATGGTGTGGGACTACTTGGAAGGCAGCAGGAAAATGCTGTGTTGGATCAAAAGAAAAAAGGGGGTACTCCTGCCTCATTGAAACATGGATACTTGTAGAGCCTTGACACCTTGCTTACACTACTCCAAAACTTTGCATCGATCAGAATAAGCACCCACATTCTGTGCACACCTTCAGACATTGAGGAACCCACTCAAACTGCTTATCTACACAAAGGTTCAGTACAAATGCAATGGCGGGAGATCAACAGTTATTGTCAGAGGCAGGGAGAGAACTCAGTCTGCATGGACAGTGTCAGTTTTTAAACAAACCATTACAACGCAGTACAATAGAATGGGTTTTCGCCACTGAAACGCAAACAAATCTCAAATTTCTACCCTAAATTGCTAAGGTGCTAGAGCTGTTAAAAAACTAAATAAATAAAATTAAAAAAAAAAAAGTCACAAAAAGTTCCTAGAAGAACTTAAAAAAAAAATTAAAAAAAAAAGAGCACCATCAGCAGCCACCGTCTACTCTCTTCACAGTCAAAACCAGCTGACCCATTTTTGCTCAAAATCACACACAAGATCACCACTGGACAGAAAATTCATCTTCAAAAATTTCAGCCCCAACAGGAAAAAGTTTGAGAAAGTGGTAAGCAACTGCAAAAGGTTCTTCAGAATGGAAACGTGAAGGCAAACTTCAATGATAGGCATCAACACACACGCCACCTATAATACTTTAAATCAATACACAACTCTGATCTATTAGAAGTTTCTAAACCTAATCAGATCCTTAGGACAGGCTGACAGTTTTATTGGGGGAAATGAGGGCAGGGGGACAGTTGCATGGAAGAACTAACTGTATTATCCTCTCCAAGAAAAAGATTTTGACGGAGGGCGGGGTGCCCCCGCAGTGGCGTTAGAACAATTTTTATAGTGGGGGTGCTGAAAGCCACTGAAGAAAATTGTAAACCCTGTATATGATGGAAACCACTTTGAGCCAGGGGATGCTGCCACACCCGCAGCACCCCTACTTTCATCAACCTGTGCTCTTGAAGAAACCTTTATCTGGACTGACACAGGTGTCGAAGAAAAACCCTACTGACTGCTGGGTAATACCTAGGCCAGCAGGAGAACTAAAGCAGCCATTTTCATTCTTCCTAGCCTCTTAAGTTGCAGCATCCTAACATGCCGTACATGCATCTTGTGAAATTTATCAGGCATAACCATTTGCATTGAATGGTTCTCATGGGAAAGCTAAATTATCCCAGCAAGTAGGAAA